AAAGTGGAAGAATCATCCAGAACTGTTAGAATGTACAACTCACATTGTCTGTGAATGCCCCCCCACCGCCCCGCCCCGGAAGTGTACAGCCCTAGATCATGGGAGATGATTCGGTGGAGAAAAAGAGAGTAATAAGGATCTGAAAGATGGTCAAGACCTGACCTGGCCCAAGAAGGCATCTCTATATGTGTATACTATGGTGTTGGAGGGGGACATGGCTCCATTTTCTGTTTCCCTGCACCTCGTGTCAACATCTTGACAGTATTGAATTTTATATGAACCCTGTACTTCCGGAAAGCAGCTACAGTCAAGAAATCCCTCCACCCCTTCGTGTCCCCTCTCACCCCATTTTGGGTTCTGAGAAATGGCTAACTTCAACGTCAATGGACTATCCTGTTCTAGAATATTCTGAGTTAAGACCCACTTTTACCTTCCTCAGTGACTCAAATAAAACCCTCTCCATCCTTCCTCATGAGGATTTCCTTGTTTACCTGCCTCTATGAAACACCAGGCCTCTTTCCTTTTTCTTTGATACATTCCTCACTAGTGAGCATTTTCCTTATTTTAACAGTCTGAAGAAAATCATCTGATTTCCCGTCCTGTGTATTTTGTCTTTCAGACCCTCTCTTTTATTCCCTTCTTCTTCATCTCAGTGAATTTTACAATGAGGTATGCTGAGATACTCTATCCAAAATCCAGTCAAGGGGCACTTGGGTGGCTCAGTCGGTTAAGCGTCCAACTTCAGCTTAGGTCATGATCTCATGGTCCATGGATTTGAGCCCCGCATCAGGCTCTGTGGGGACAACTGACAGCCTGAAGCCTGCGTCAGATTCTGTGTCTCCCTCTCTCCCTGCCCCTCCTCTGCTTGCACTCTGTCTGTCTCTCTCAAAAAGAAATAAACATTAAAAAAAAAAATCCAGTAGATAGGTCACACAGCAATGTAAATTTATTTAATGCCTATGAACTGTATACTTAAACATGGTTAAAATGGTAAATTTGATTTTATGTATATTTATCACAGTAAAAGAATTCCAATTGACAGAGAAATATAATGGAAATAATTTTATTCAAAACAATTGGAACTCCTACTATGTGCTGGGTGATGGGTTAGGGAATGGGGAAGTGGGTAGGGCCTCTGATAGGAAATGAGTAAGATCTGCTTCCTGTGGTCCAGGAGCTCCCAGACTTGCCAGGAGACAAACACATAATCTGCTAATTAAGCCACATAATTCAGGATGACACACATTGTAATAGACATGTGTACAGCCTGATTTGAGTCCGGTTGAAGGGCTTTGAGTGCTACATTAAGGCGTTTGGATTTTATCCTATGATAATTGGTATCCATGAATGGTTTTAAAGCAAGTGTATGATGCAAATAGATTCATTGCAATTCCTTCTGTCATATCACCAAACATCTACTTTGTGTGGAGTCTGTAAATGATCAGTGGTTGTGACAGTTTTTTGGGTTTTGTTTTTGTTTTTTTTTAGATTTTATTTTTAAGTCATCTCTACACCCAAGTGGAGCTCAAAACTCACAACCCCCCTATCAAGCGTCACATGTTCCATTGACAGAGCCAGCCACTTGCCCCGATGGTTGTGACAGTTTTAATTTTGAAAAGCTGGTCCCCATTATTATTTTTTTAATAATTAAAAAAATTATTTTAATGTTTTATTTATTTCTGAGAGAGAGAGAGAGACAGCTTGAGCAGGGGAGGGTCAGAGAGAGAGGAAGACACAGAATCTGAAGCAGGCTCCAGGCTCTGAGCTGGCTGTCAGCACAGAGCCTGACACAGGGCTCTAACCCACTGACCGCGAGATCATGACCTGAGCCAAAGTCAGACACTTAACCGACTGAGCCACCCAGGCGCCCCAGTTGGTCCCCTGTTAAACGGGCTTATGTTCATGTTTCTCTTATTAAATATATTTACATTCAGGCAAGAGAGAATTAACTTTGGTTAAGTTTGTTGGGAAGACAGAGACACAGACCTGGTGAGTGTGCTGTAAGAAATGTGCTTGGGGCAGGGGCGCCTGGGTGGCTCAGTTGGTTAAGCGTCCAACTTCAGCTCAGGTCATGATCTCACGGTTCGTGGGTTGGAGCCCCGCGTTGGGCTCTGTGCTGACACCTAGCTCAGAGCCTGGGGCCTGTCTTCGGATTCTTTGTCTCCCTCTTTCTCTGACCCTCCCCTGCTCATGCTGTCTCTCTCTCCCTCTCTCTCTCAAAAATAAATAAAAACATTTAAAAAAAAAGAAATGTGTTTGGGGAACATCGAGAGGTCAGAGGGGGGCAACTGCCACTGCCTGAGGAAGTCAGGGAAGGCCTCTAGGAGGAAGTGGCTGTGGGAAAGGAGAGGGAAGAGGGAAAGCTGGTACATATAGATGAAGAAAGGAAGCTGTGGGTAATACAGCCAGAGAAGGGTGGCAGAAGGCTTTGTTTGCCAAGTTGAGGGGCTTGAATCTTTTCCCTACAGGTGATGGGAACCATCAAGGGCTCCGTTAATAATAATGATGATGATGATATAGCGCTTATACATGCCAGTCACTACTCTACTTTACCAGTAACAACTTGTTTAACCCTGACACTCAGGAAATGGCATGGATAGATGGTTTAGATTACTTGGGTGACCGTGTGGATGATGGTGGCCAGAATAATAGTTGTGGTTTGGGAGAAAGACAAAGCAGAGGATGAAAAGGATGTAATGGCTTTGTGAAATAATTAGGAATAAAATAATCAGGACTTGATTATTCATTGGCTGGGTGGTAGAACTGGTGAGGAAAAGGTGGAAAGCTGGATGATTCTCTTTTTTTTTTAATGTTGATTTATTTTTGAGAGAGAGAGAGAGAGAGAGACAGAGTCTGAGCAGGGGAAGGGCAGAGAGAGAGGGGGAGACAGACTCTGAAACAGGCTTCAGGCTTTGAGCTGTCAGCACAGGGCCAGATGCAGGGCTTGAACTCATGGACTGCGAGATTATGACCTGAGCTGAAGTTGGATGCTTAACAGACTGAACCACCCAGGCGCCCTTCTTCCTCTCTGCCCCCGCCCCGCCTTTTTAAAATGTTTATTTATTTTTGAGAGGGAGAGAGAGAGAGAGAGGGAGAAGGAGAGAGAGAGAGAGAGAGAGAGAATGAGTGGGGCAGGGGCAGAGAGAAAGGGAGAGAGAATCTGAAGCAGGCTCCACACAGAGCCAGATGTGGGGCTTGAAATCATGAATTGTGAGACCACCACCTGACCTGAACTCAAAAATCGTGAGATCATGACCTGAGCCGAAATTAAATCAGACACTCAACAAACTGAGCCACCCACATGCCCCTGACCCTCACTCTTTTGGTTTCAGATCCTGTGTGTATTGCTGTGCCACCCAGGTAGAGGATTGATAATCCTGTTTCATTTCTTGGAAGACTTACTGCAGTCCTTCAGTACTTCCTACTCCTCTATGAGTTATTTATGAGTTGTTTAAGGGGCCTGGAGCTTACTTCAGATTCTATGTCTCTCTCTCTTTCTGCCCTCCCCTGCTCACGCTCTCTCTCTCTCTCGTAAAAAAACAATAAATAAATAAACAGGGGCTCAGGGTGGCTCAGTCGGTTAAGTGTCCGACTTCAGCTCAGGTCATGATCTCACGGTTTGTGGGTTCGAGCCCCGCGTCGGGCTCTGTGCTGAATGCTTGCTCAGAGCCTGGAGCCTGCTTCGGATTCTGTGCCTCCCTCTCTGCCCCTTCCTCACTCACGCCGTCTCACTCTGTCTCTCAAAAACAAATAAATGTAATAAAAAAAAAATTTTTTTTTTTTTTGGATAAACATAGGGGCGCCTGGGTGGCTCAGTCCGTTAAGCGTCGACTTCGGCTCAGGTCATGATCTCGCGGTTTGTGAGTTCGAGCCCCTTATCAGGCTCAGAGCCTGGAGCCTGCTTCAGGTTCTGTGTCTCCGCCTCTCTCTGCCCCTCCCATGCTCAAGCTCTTTCTCTCTCTGTCTCTCAATACTAAATAAACGTTAAAAATCTTTAAAGAAACTTAAAAAATAAACATAAACATTTTTTAAAAGAAGGAAGTTGTTTAATTTCCAAATATTTGAGGATTTCCCAGAAATCTTTCAGTTATTTCTAGTTTTAATTCCATCATGATAGGAGAACATCCTTTGTGTGGTTTCATTTCTTCTTAAGTTTCGGAGGTATTTTTATGTTTTTTACTGCTTTTTGTTTGTTTTGCCCAGGCTATCTTTTTTTTAATGTATTTTAAAAAAATTATTTCTGAGAGAGAGAGAGAGAGAGAGAGAGACAGCGTGAACAGGGAAGGGTCAGAGAGAGGGAGACACAGAATCCGAAACAGGCTCCAGACTCTGAGCTGTCAGCACAGAGCCCGACGCAGGACTCGAACCCACAAACCGCGAGATCATGACCTGAGCCGAAATCGGATGCTCAACCGACTGAGCCACCCAGGCGACCCTGTTTTGCCCAGGCTATCTTGGTAAAAGTTTCTTTTGCACTTGAAGAGAATGTATTGTTGAGTGGAATTCTCTTTAAATGTCATCAGGTCAAGTTCTTTGTTCTGTTCAAGTCTTTTATAAATTTGGTAGTTTTCCTAATAATTGTCCAGTTACAGTAATTGTGGATTCGCCTATTTCTCCTTTGAGTTCTACAGCCTGACGGATAGCTCCGCATAGACAAGAGGGTACTACGGCAGAGAGGATAGAACGTTTGTGTGAAACTGGGGGAAACATTTTATCTCTTTAAAATTACTCTAGAACGCTAAGACAAAATGGAAATCACTACGTATCCCAGCAGGCCTAGTGGACCACGGGACGAACGCCAATAAGGGAATCCGGGCATTAGGCCACGCCCCTTCCTCGGTTGGCAAGGCAACTGATCTCGAAGCCAGCCAATCGATGAGATGCTCACCTGCGGGGGCGGGGGCTCGACGAGAGCCAATGGGAGGCGGGGCAGATGGTTCCTTGGGCTAATGGCCTGGGCGACGGGGCGGGCTTTTAGTGAAGGGACAGCGTTGGGAAAGATGGCGGCGACTCTGGGACCCTCTGGGTGGTGGCAACGGTGGCGGCGGCGTTTATCGGCTCCGAATGGGTCCAGGATGTTGCTCCTTCTCCTTTTGTTGGGGTCTGGGCAGGGGCCACGGCAAGTCGGGGCGGGTCAAACGTTCGAGTACTTGAAACGGGAACACTCGCTGTCGAAGCCCTACCAGGGTGAGGCACCCCGGGCGAGGTGGTCGTGCACGGGGAGGGCTACCGGACTTGAGCTCATCGGTAGAGACCGGGGTGGTGAAAGGCTTCATGGTCCTAAGGAAACTCCCGCCGGTGGGTGGGGGCCCACGGGGACTCCCGCCGCGTTTGGGAGCCACGGGTCGCAAGGGCAGGGGTCAACTCCCCCCATCTCCCAACCCTGTTTTGGAAGTTTCCAGCAAGTCGAAGCCGGGCTTGGATGCCACAAGCATCAGGCCTGGACAAAGGGGAGGTTGGAGTTCGATAGGAGGAATGTGGGAAGGATGGAACTGCAAATGGTGGAAAGTGATTGAAGGCCACTAGCAAAAAGCCGGTCTCTGGATGGAGTTATAGATGTGCTAGAAATAAAGTAGAACTAGGCTGGACTGAGAAAGAAGATACAATCCTTTTGCCGGTGAAAACACCTGTTCTCTGGTCCAAGGAGCCCTATTGATCAGAGAGGCTGGTTAGCTTTGCTGTGTTTAGGGCTCCTAGGCTCCTAGGTACAGCTTATCAACCAGAACATTTATATAGTTAATTACAAAGAAGACCAAATCGGTGCAGAAACAAGTCTGTTTCCCCATTGGAGTGTGTGACAGCAGACAAGAACTCAAAGTGCGAGTGTATCCACGGCTGCTAAGAGTGATCATTTATTCACTCAGCAGGTACATCAAGTGCCTCATCTGTGCTGTCTCACAGATACGAAAGTTCACACTCAGGGTTACAGCCTGAGGTCCTGGAAGCAGTACCTTCACACTTGAATTGTTTCTTTATTAAAAAAAATTTTATTGTTTATTTATTTTTGAGAGCGAGCAGGGAAGGGGCAGAGAGAGGGAGACACAGAATCTGAAGCAGGCTCCAGGCTCTGAGCTGTCAGTACAGAGTCAAACACGGGGCTCAAACCCACGAACCTGGAGATCATGACCTGAGCTGAAGTCGGATGCTTAATGGACTGAGCCGCTCAGGTGCCCCTGCACTTGAATTGTTTGAAGAAAGAATGTGATTAAGCCCCAGAAGCCTGAAGGTCAAGCTCTTTTTAGTAGAACTGGGAACATTTTTTTTTTTCTTTTATGGTGCTAAAGTTTACTTATGAAGTGGGAGGAATGGATCTAAGCTATGGTTATGGTGGCGTGGATAAAGTGATAGATGTGATGACTTCACCTGAGAAGGGCTTTGTGAAAAGGAAGCTGTCAAGATGGTAAGGATTTGAGATTTATGAGTGACGGAGGTAGGAGACTGAGTGTCGTGAAAGGGAGCAAATGATGAGGACTCCAGCTTTAGGAGGGTCCTTGCTTTCTGAACGGGTTGGTGCTGAAGAGTATGAACTTATCTACTTCCTCCCTGTAGGTGTGGGCACAGGCAGCTCCTCACTGTGGAATCTGATGGGCAATGCCATGGTGATGACCCAATATATCCGCCTTACCCCAGATATGCAAAGTAAACAGGGTGCCCTGTGGAACCGGGTGGTAAGAATCTTTCTCCCTCCTGTGTTGCTGACCCACAAAGTCCTAAAAAGCTCACCAGTGGCATATTGACTTAATTTACTGTCTATCCCCAGTGTTCCATCTTCTGTGGGATTTCAGGGATTTTTCAGAGAATATGATGACCTTCATAATGAAATCAGATTATGTAGGGAAATGCTCTGATTGCCCCAGTTATAGCAAATAATCCATTTTGGTTCGGTTTTCTGAAATGTCTTTAATTCCCTATTGACCTGATCATATTACTTCTTGGATTAACAACTCACTTTTAATTACTTTGTAAAGTAGAGGACTACTCCTTTAGATTTATCCTAAACTTCATCCCAGGATTCGCCCTTGCTCTATTTCACTTTGAAGAGTTTAATTCTAAATTTTATTTTCATGTGAAAGCCACTTTGAGCCCTTGGTCATTTTTTTTTTTTTTTTTTTTTTTTTTTTTTTTTTNTTTTTTTTTTTTTTTTTTTTTTTTTTTTTTTTTGTCCTTCTCTGGACCTTTTTTAGCTACATTGTCTTCCTTGAGGTATGGCGGCAAGAAGTGAATGCAGTATTCCTGGTGTGGCTGCACTGTGATTTTGTACAAGTGTAAGATGATGCTTTCTTTTTGCTTTCCAGGGCTCTTTCTAAATCTTTTACAACCCCTTTACTTTTCAGAAGGACCTTGGCATCCTTTAATACTTTCTCTTGGGTTCTCATAAGCTAAGAACTTACTTTTTCGTGGTTTTTATCATTGGTTGTAGATAAATGAACCTCAGAAAAAAAAGAACTGTCTCTTTTCCCTGTTCATTGTATGTGGCAGAGAATTCTGACAGAGCAGAGGGATAAGAGAAGTTTCTCCATGAGCTATTTGCACAAGCTGGCCTCTTAACCCAGATTGTAGTGTTGCTCTCATTCTTAGACAGAGTGCAGGCCAGTGTGTTCTGGTGGAAGATGCAAAAGGCTGGCAGTTGACAGCTTTGGTTGGGTCCTAGATCTAGCTGTATCACAGACACACTGTGAGCCCTTGGCTGTTAACTTAATTGTGTTTTCAGTTTCTCCATCTGCCAAATGAGCTTCATAATACCTTCTACATGTCCACTAGGGTTATTGGGAGAATAAAATAAGACAATAGACCTGAAAAAGCCTTCGAAAGTTAAAATGGTTAGAGAAACGTACATCGTTACATGATGCATCTGTTATATGTAGGTTTCATTGATGAGGTCTCTGGGTTACTAAATGATTATGCCTAGGGCTTGATACTTGGGGCTGTCCTGCTAGCTGCTTTTACAGAACTCTTGGCAGCTGTTGGAGTTTAGGATCTAGTTATATTGCCCTTTTTCAGATTCTCTGATACTGTGAGTTTTTTGTTGTTGTTTTTTGTTGTTGTTGTTGTTGTTGTGTTGTTGTTGTCTATCAGAATGAGCTTTGGAGTTGCTTCTGAGTTATTTGAATAGGATGTGTATGTTTGAACAGTGGTTCTTAGATTTGGCTGTCTACTGGGGTTGATGCCTGTGGTCATGGGAATTTTAAAAGCTCCCTAGATGAATTTAATGTATAGCCAAGTTTCAGAACCACTGGTAGACATAGCCCTGAGCAAAAGTGTGTGGCACCGTGCTAGAGGAGACTGAGGATAAGTAGCAGACACCTCTGGGCTTAGTGTGAACGTCTCTGGCCCTGCCCTTGTCCCAAGGGGATGATACCCACTGGCGAGGGGCAGCTTCCTGCCACTGAATTTCACTCTTGTCTTGAAGCCTAAGTGCAAGAACAGAAAGAGAATGCAGAATGACAACACAGAGACTGGGCTCATCAGGGTAGGGTAAGCTAGTGGAGGTTCTTTGGTGAATTCAGAAGTAACCTCACCCCTTTCATTTGACTATGTATTCCTAGTACTAACACTTTTGGAAGATTTCCCAGAAATTAAAACTGAATACTAAAAATGATCTAGCAGTGTGTTGCTCGAGAGCCAGAACATTCTATTTGGAGAGCTGCTGGGTTAACCCTGCTGGTCTATCTGCTCCTCTTTCCCTTCTTTCTTCATAGTGACCTTTAATCAGGAGCCTTTCTAAACCAGATACCTAGTCCGCATTCTTTTGAAAGCGTTCAACTGTTTAGAGCACTTAACCATCCACTTACGTCCTTTTCCATTTTCCCAAGCTTTTGATACACAGTTAAAACAAAACAAAACAAAACCCCAACAAACACGAGAGTCTGATTAGTACCACCTCCATGTTTTTCCACCAGAAGCTGTCCCTGTGATGGGGATGGCGGTGTTCTCCTTTGGTGCATTTATGCTTCTTGACCACGGGCATGATGTTTTGGGAGACTGGGACTTACTCCTTCTTGGGGAATTCTGGCTTGCCCCTCAGCTTGGCATAAGGACAAGTCTAGCTAATTAGAGTTGTTCATATATCTGCTTAATAATTCCTGGAAACGTTTGCATAATGGCTTAGCTTTTTTTTGTTCTTCTGTAACGAATGAGGCTTTGACCTTTCTTGAAATCCAGGCTTTTTAGAGTCTTTGTGTCAGAGGGGTGACCTCAAGTTGCAAATGAGTGTTAATTCAGCCACCTGTACTCTGTAGGCTGAGATGCTCTGCTGCAGGGTCACAGCTGTCTAACTTGACAGTCTCTTGTCTTTTCCAACTTTGGAGCACTATCCTGTTTCCATTAGGAGATACTGAAGATAATTGGGAGGTTTATTCGCTTTCCACATTAGATATCATATACAGTTGAACGGCCCAACCTGTTTAATTTTGGCACATAGCAAGTCACAGATTTCAGTTTCAACCCTTCACCTTGTGTTACCTGCATTTATGTTTTCCCAGTCTCTAGACTGCTGGTGAGGGCTTGAGGGGGTCTCACATTTCACACACTTCACTGATTCTGGTGTCTTTTTCTCTTCAGCCATGTTTCCTGAGAGACTGGGAGTTGCAGGTGCACTTCAAAATCCATGGACAAGGGAAGAAGAACCTGCATGGGGATGGCTTGGCAATCTGGTACACGAAGGATCGGATGCAGCCAGGTATTGGGACCCTGGGTTGCTCTTGTGTGGGGTGCCACAGGCCTCCTTTCTCACGTGCCCTCTTTTGGAGAAGGGTATGTGCCCACAGCGCCAGCAGTTTGCCACCCCCTTGATGTCTGTGGGTGAAGACCGGCCTGTCTAGTCTCTAGAATGGGGTCTGACTCCTAGTAAAGCAGCTGAACTTGACTCATCCTGGGACAACTTCTTGCTTATTCATTCCTTCTGCTTTCCCTTTGAGGCCACGTGGCCTGTCGGCCGGCTGAAAGCGGTGGCTTTCCCGAACGCCCACGATTGGGTGAGCTGATTTCTTCCGAGCATGTGCAGTGTACGATCTCAGAACTCCCCGAGTCCGGAGTTGTGTGGGAGCTGTTGCTCCAAGGACATGGCAAACTCAACCTGGTTTGACCTTATCTCTTTTGCAACAAGAAGTGGAACTTGGGAATTCAGCTCTCTCTCAGGGGCATAGTTGTCACCAAGCGTTTGCGAAGCAGAATTCTTCAGGGGCGCCTTAGCAACCAGTTTGGACCAGGGAGCAGCTGTGGTGCTAAACAACGTTGCAGTGGCCTTCTCTCTTCCCCTGCCTTCAATACCAAACAGCTACAGATTTTGTTGGGTGCTTGCCACAGGCCAGGCACCGTGCTGGCTGCTTTTACATACGTTTTCTCTTCTTAAAGAGAGGCCCTGGGAGTCATTTGAATTTTACTTTTTCCTCCATCATAGTGATATGTTATTCCTTTATCACCTCTTGGCTTTGTTTCATTGTTCATCATCTCTTCTCTCTCTCTAGGGCCTGTGTTTGGAAACATGGACAAATTTGTGGGGCTGGGAGTATTTGTAGACACGTACCCCAATGAGGAGAAGCAGCAAGAGGTAAATGGCAAGTGTCAGAGCTGAGGTCACAGCTGCACTGACATCACAGTCCTTTGCCTCAGGGATGTCCGTGAGGGAACAGGGGATAGAATGTGAGGGGTTCTTTTCTATTTTCTTCATCTGTTGAATGTGAAAAGCTAATATCCTTGTCAGCATTTTCTAGACAGAATTGTTTATGGTGCACAGACCTTTGGGAATGACTGTTGTGACTGGGGGCTCTTTCTTTAGTGTTCACAGTGTTCTCTTGTGCACGTTAGGTAGCTGCTGGAATTGAGCCTGCTTGGCTGGCTGGTGATTGGGCTACTAGCCGGCATCAGAGCCAGCTGAATTTATATAACCCGGCTCCCCTGACTTAATAGATCACCACTGTGTACTCTCTTCTGCAGTTTGCTCATTCTTTCGAGGATCCTTTTCTTCTTCTTCCTATTTTTAGACCTGAACGGCAGGTCTGCTCTCCTGTGGGAAAGGTGGTAAAAGGAGATTGATGGAGTCCTAGCATTTTGTTGCAATCTGGTATCTGGCTGTTGGCCGGAGCTTCTTGCTTTTTGTCGGCTGGCCCTAGGGCTCTTTACTACTTTCTTAGACTGCCAACAGGTTTTTACTCTTTGCCTGATGGCCCTGCTACCACATGGTAGGAAAATGATGATGGCAGGTTGCTTATGGGTATCCGATAGCTATATAATAGTTGGCAAGAAAGGCAGGATTAGGGATGCAGACAGCAGTCGCTTTACTTTTTTTCCCTAAAAGCTTTATATGAAAAATAACAAACTTATTTACAAAATTGGAAGAATACATCATCATATATGCAACACCCAGATTCAATGATTTTTAGCATTGCCCACGGAGCTCACCTGAGGGAGGTGGAACGAGAGACCTGAGTTTGGAGAGTTACCGTTTGTTGTGGGACACTTACAGAGTCACTTCTCCATGTTCGTTGCCTCTGGGCTCCTCTTCAAGCCACCATACATCAGGCGCTTTCTAGAAGGGGGAAGTTAGTGAGCAAGATCAGCATCAGTCCCGCACTCCGTAGCACTGAGGTGTGAGAATGCCGATGGGGAACTGTGGGGTGCCGTAGAAGACCCAGAGGCATGTCTGACTTGGAGCGGGACAGTGTGGCAGTGGTGGTGGTGGGGAAGACTTCCTCTAGGAAGTGACATTTACGTTGAAGTCTGCAGAATTAGGAACCAGTATTCCATGCAGAGGGAAAAGCGTGTTTTAAGATGATAAAGTGAGAGAAGGGACAGAGTATTAGGGGAAAAGGGGTCAGAGAGAAATGAGGCTAGAAAGAAAAACAGGGCCAGAGTCTTGCCAAGTCGCACAATTTCAGGGGCCACCATTCCCACTGCATTCTTTAGTATTAACACTGTTCCCTGTTGGGCAAGTTGACTGGCCACTGAGATTGAGCAGTGTCTCCTTGGGTGGTTAGTGATTTGGGTGTTCAGACCAGCACCAGAGCCATCCAAATGTTCATGACTCATCCTCCCCATGCACATTGTTGGGCCAAATTCTGAAGAGAGGTGTTCCTGTTAAGGAGTTTGGATTGTATTCTAAGGGGGTAAGTGTGTTAAAGGATTTTAGTGAGGAGAATGTGATGACTAGGCTTGCAGTCATGCTGAGGAAATAGTAGTAGTTAGAAGTGCATCTGAGTAAGAGGTATGGGCTTTAGGGCTTGACTGGAGTTTTAAACCTAGCCCTCTGCTTCTCCCAGAAATAAATTGTTCAGATTCCCTCAGGTTCCGTTTCAGCATCAGATAATAGTAATTCTGATTTGAGAGGGCAGATCTGACGGCCTTATTTCGCAAGAAGAGTAGATGTTAATCAGTAAAATTAGTTTCAGTTGGTAAAAAAATAAAAAATCAAATTTTCTAGCTAGCTGTTAATGGTTCTCACTCCCAGCTGCTCATTGGAATTGCCTAGAGTGCATTTATTTCTTTATTTTCTAATGTTTATTTTTGAGAGATAGAGCGAGCAGGGGAGAGGCAGAGAGAGGGGGGTGGGGACAGAGGATCTGAAGCAGGCTCTGTGTTGACAGCAGCAAGCACGTAGGGCTTCAACTCACTGACTGTGAGATTATGATCTGATCCAAAGTCAGACGCTTTGCTGACTGAGCCACCTAGGCATCTCTACCTGGAGTGCATTTAAAATTACTGAGTTCCAGGGGCACCTGGGGGTGGCCCAGTTGGTTGAGCGTCCATTTTTGGCTCAGGTCATGATCTCTCAGTTCACGAGTTCAAGCCCTGTGTCAAGCTCTGTGCTGACAGCTTAGAGCCTGGAGTCTGTTTCAGATTCTGTATCTCCCTCTCTTTCTGCCCCTCCCTAGCTTATTCTCTAGCTTTGGCCCAGGTCATGATCTCATGAGGCATGAGTTTGAGCCCTACATCGGGCTCTCTGCTGTCAGCACAGAGCCCTCTTAGGATCCTCTATCTGCCCTCGCCTCCGCCCCTTCCCCACTCATGCTCTCAAAAATAATACAAAAATTTTAAGTAAAAATATTTTAAAAATGAAAATACTGATGCCCAGACCCTAGTCTCAGAGAGTAAAATTCTGTTTGTCTTCGGTGCAGTGTAGGCAACCTTACTTTTTCAAAGCTTTCCAGGTGAGTCACATGTATAGCCAGCATTGGGAACCCTTGGATCAACATCAGGTCCTTGTTTCCATAGTAGGAGCTTACTTGTTAATCAAATTTGTTTATTAAAATGAAATTTAAGAAAACTCATAAAGGTGGTTTCTGTTTATTAGGTGGCCATTATGTGCCAGGTACGTACAAATAATGCCTTAATTCTGATCAAAACTCCCTAGAGTTAGTATTATTTTTCCCCATTTACTAGTGAGTACAGAAGCTTAGAGAATTATCTTGTTCAAGGGAACAGCCAATGTAAGGTGGAGTCAGATTTTGAACATAGGCCCACTGGATTCCAGAGACTGTGCTTTTAATTATGGTGCTCTGCCTCCTCCCTTCTTTCCATTGTTTCTTCTGCAGATTGATTTCCTTGAGAATGGAGACATTTATTATTCTCATGTCATCTCCTATGTAATTTCAGTTCTGAGAGCTTATGTTCTAATGTACAGAGTATAGAAAATATACACCTGGAACTATTTTATAGGGTAAAATCAAGTGTGTTTTGGTGGCAGTGTGATTTATTTTGATATCATACATAAAGGTGCCAGGCATTGTTTCAAACTCTTGTACATGTATTATTAGTATATTATATTGTGTATATTGTGTGTCTATTATATATATATATTTGTATATATTATATGTTTAGTATATATATGTGTAACAACTCTTTGGGGTAGATATTATTGTTATCTGTACATTATGGGGAAGAAACTGAAGTGCAGAAAGGTTGAAAAATTTGTCAGTGATACACAAATAGAGGGTTTGATTCCAGACATAAACACATAAGAAGAGGGTATATGGCACCTTTTGGAAACTTGCACATGTTCCATAGAAGATGTGCTGGACTAGGAGGGCAAGTTGCTGTCAGGATGGGGGTGTGGAGCAAGTCATCAAATCCCTCAAGGTAGTGGGAAAATGTTTCTATGGTTTCTTGTTTCTTTGTCACCAGAGCATATGACCTTGTTGCTCAGCTTACTTGCTACCACATTTATTCATGAGGAAATACTGGGAAACTATTAGTAACTGGTAATGCATCTAAGAAGAAGGTAAGGGAGTTCAGTGTGGGCCTGGCTCTCTGAAATCAGGACAGATTGTTAAAAGTCATATAACCTCAGTTTCCTTGTCAGCAATATAAGAATTATAATTTAGGTGAGTCAAGTGTTTTGCTGTTTGGGAGTTCAAGGTACTACCTGTGCCATAGTGAGGTTACCAGATTGTAAGTCATTGTTAAAATAATAGTTGAAGAAATAGGAAATCTGGGGCATCTGAGTGGCTCAGTCAGGTAAGCGTCTGACTCTTGATTTCAGTTCAGGTCATGATCTCACTGTTTGTGAGATTGAGCCCTGCGTCAGGCTCTGCTCTGACAGTGTGGAGCCTGCTTGGGATTCTCTCCATCTCTCTCTCTTTCTCTCATTCCCCTGTTTGTGCTCTCTCTCTCTCAAAATAACTAAATAAACATTAAAAAAAAAAGAAAAAGAAATAGGAAATTTGGATAGATCCATAACGGGTCAGAGATTGAATTAGTAATAAAAAATGAGTCACAAAGAAAAGCTTCACTGGTTCATTCTATCAAACATAGAAAGTGGAGTTAATACCAATTCTTCCCAAGAATTCTTACAAAATATAAGAGAGGACATTAACCAACTCATTCTTTGAGGCCAGTACTATCCTGATGCCAAAACCAGATAAAGACATCACAAGAAAAGACAACTACTGACCAAAATCTCTTATGAATATAGATGTAGAAATCATCAACAAGATATGAACACACCAAATACCACAACATAAAAAGGATTATATACCATGACCATGGTATTTATCTGAGGAATTCAAGTTTGCTTTAAAATCTGAAAATTAAGGCACGGCTAGGTGGCTCAGTTGTAAGAGCATATGACTCTTTACCTCGGGGCCTGAGTTCGAGCCCCACGTTGGGTGTAGAGATTACTTAAATAAATAAATAAAAGCTTTAAAAATCTGAAAATTAATATGATAGGCCATATTGATAGAATAAAGGACAGGGCCACCTGGCTGGCTCAGCGGTAAAGGGTGCAACTCTTAATTTCAGGGTCAAGAGTTGAAGCCCCATGTTGGGCATGGAGCCTACTTAAAAAAAAAAAAAAAAGAATGAAGGACAAAAACCATATGATCATATCAATAGATGTAAGAAAAGTATTTGTTAAAATTTAATATCTCTTTATTATATTTATTTATTTTTAAGAGTTTATTTTTAAGTAATTTCTATACCCAACGTGGGGCTCAAACTCACAACCCTGAGATCAAGAGTTGCCCACTCTACCAACTGAGTCAGCTGGGCGCCCCTAGTACCTCTATGATAACAAAAACATTAAACAAATTAGGAATAGAGGGGAGCTTCTTCAAT